CATTCATTCATTCATTCATTCATTCATTCATTCACTTATTCTTTCAACTAGCAAACGTCTCCTGAGGATTCCCGTGGGCCAGGTCCCAGTGTCTGCAGACCTGGGGACCCAGGGAGGGATCAGAGCAGGGCCTGTGCTCACGGGCCTGGGGGAGAAGTCACAAAAGGAATGGGTCACAATCTGGAGTAGGATGTACCCTAACGGAGGAGCTCAGGGCACTGTGGCAACCCAGCACCCCCCTTCCTGTTCACTCCCTCACAAACTCTCCTCAGGCCTGCGGGGAGCTGGGGCCCTAGACAGGAGACAGCCAGACAGCCCCAGCCTGGGCCCTGGAAGCTCCCGGTCAGATTAAGTGATTAGGAAGCAGATTCCCCACTCAAGACCGCGCAGGACCATGCCCTCAGGCTAGGCCCAGCCCAAACCTTTCCCCTTATCTGCAGAATTTGCCCTTCCTTGCCCTCCTTCTCAAAGCCTGCCTTTCACCTCCTTCTACAGTCTTTCCTCTGAACTCCACTATGCCTTCAGATTCTCCAGCAAGATGCTTCCACAACCCTCCCCTTCCTCCACCTGCTTGTCTCTGAGCGCTGGCTCACCCACACCCGTCAGGCCTTTTCCCTCGCTCCTGCTTGAAACCTTCCCTAGTGCTCTCAGGACAAACACCAACGTGGCCTCTGCCCACCCACCTGACATCAGATCCCACCCCATCCTCCTGTGCACCAGGCACATAGGCCTCAGCTCAGTCTCCGCTGGGCCTCAGGACCTTTGCATGGCTGTCCCTCTGCCTTTGCAGCTCTTCCCCCCCTCCCCTGGCCTGGCAAACTCTGCCGCATTGTCTGAGCAATGCAACCAGACAGAGTCTTCATTCTCTCAACACTGTGGCCCTCTCTCTCACTGGACTTAGGACAGCTACAAGTTTTTTCCTCTTATAACAAAAAATTGAGATACAATTCACATACCATAAAGTTCACCGTTCTAAAGTGTGCAAATCAGTGGTCTTCGGTATATCCACAGTCTCGTGCAACAATCACCACGATCTATTTCCAGAACATTCTCATCACCCCAAAAAGAAACCCGACACTCACTGGCAGTCTCTTCACATTCCACCACCCCCTACCCAGCCCTAGGTGGCCACTAACCTACTTTCTATCTCTATGGATTTGCCTGTTCTGGACATCTCATGCAAATGAAATCATATATGTGGCCTTTTGTGTCTGGCTCCTTTCACTTAGAACGAGGCTTTCGCCACAGTTCATCCATGTTGTAGTGTGTGTCATTCTTTATTTTATTATTTTTTTTAATTTTATTTGAGAGAGAGAACACAAGCAGGGGGTAGGAGCTGAGGGAGAGGGAGAAGCAGGCTCCCTGCTGAGCAGGGAGCCTGACACAGGACTCCTCCCGGGACTCCAGGATCATGACCTGAGCCCAAGTCAGAAGCTTAACTGACTGAGCCACCCAGGGTGCCCCCCGCCCCGGCTTTTTAAACATTTTATTTATTTATCTGAGAGAGAGACAGAGTACAAGCAGGGGGTGGGGCAGAGGGGGAGGAAGAAGCGGACTCCCCGCTGAGCGTGGAGCCCAACAGGGGCCTCGATCTCAGGACCCTGGGATCATGACCCGATCTGAAGGCAGATGCTTAACCAACTGAGCCACCCAGGTGCACCAAGTGTGTCATTCTTTTTAACGGCTTGATAATATTCCATTGTGTGGCAGACCCCATTTTGTACATCCATTCACCCGATGATGGACATTGGGTTGTCTGCTTCCATTGTGGGGCTATGGTGACTGACCCTACTATGAACATCTGTATACACGTGTTTGTGAGAAGGACGGCTACGCTTTTTATCAGTACCTGTCTCCTTCATGGGGCTGGGAGCTTCACAGGGACACAGACAGACCTGTCTTGTTCGCCACTGTGTCCCCCACACCCTCTATAAGGTTTGAAACACATGAGTCATTCGACATTCACTTGATGGGAAGACGAAGAACAGGAGGAATCCCTGATTCTCTAGCCCCAACTCATGTGGCCAAATTACCTCTACTGGCCCCAAGTCAGAGTCTCCCCTCGGGGGTCCTGCAGTGATGCCGACCTGTCTTCTCGTTCCTTCCCCACCCCCATCATCCAATCCCCTTGCAAATCCTTCAAAATCTGTACCCAAACCAACCACTTCTCACCATTCACTTCTCACCCCACTCAAGCCAACACCATCGCTCACCCGGATGCCTGCAGCAGCCCCTAATTATCTGCCTGCTTCTGCCACTACCTCCTGAGTCTGTTCTCTTCATGGCAGCAGAGCAAGTATTTTAAAACATCAATCAGCTCACGTCCCTCCTGTGCTCTAAACCTTCCTGCCGCTCTCATTTCACCCAGAGAAAGGCCAGAGTGCTCTCTAAGGCCCGTAAAGCCCTTCACCATCCCTGTCCCCTCTCTGTCCTCATCTCCTGCCCTCTCCCCCTCAGCTCCAGCCACATGGGTCCCCTGGCTCTTACTGGAACACACGCCAAACATGCTGCAACCCCAGGACCTTTGAACAAACCATTCCTCTGCCTGGACCGCCCTTCCCTCCAAAATCTGCAGGGCCTGTTCCCTCACTTAACTCAAAAGTCTACTCACATGTCACCTCCTTGGTGAGGGCCTACCCAAGCACCATCTCAATCCTGATCCCTCCTCATCTTTCTTTCCTTCCTTTCTTTCACACTACCGGTTACCCTCTGACATGGTATCATTTATTGTCGTTCTGTGTTTCTTTTCTTTTCTTTTTTTTTTTTTTAAAGATTTTATTTATTTATTTGACAGAGAGAGACACAGCGAGAGAGAGAACACAAGCAGGGGGAGTGGGAGAGGGAGAAGCAGGCCTCCCGCCGAGCGGGGAGCCCGATGCGGGTCTCGAACCCAGGACCCCGGGATCATGACCTGAGCCGAAGGCAGATGCTCAACGACTGAGCCACCCAGGCGCCCCTGTGTTTATTTTCTATGTCCCTCATGGCCTGGGTGTTCCCAAACCAGGGATTCTTGTTCACTGTTGTAGCCCAGTCCTGGGTACAGTGTCAAAAAGTAGTGATCAAAAACTATTTGTTGAATGAATGAATGAATGAACCTTCAGAGACAAGATGCTATTATCAGGGGAGTTTGCAGACAAGAACTCTGAGCCTCAGAGGCGCCTGGGTTGAGCAGCCAACTCCTGATTCCTGATTTCCGCTCAGGTCATGACCTCAGGGTTGTGAGACTGAGCCCCGTGTCAGGCTCTGTGCTCAGTGCAGAGTCGCTTGAGATTCTCTCTCTCCCTCTCCCTCTGCCCCTCCCACTCGTGATCTCTCTCTCTAAATAAATAAATCTTTAAAAAAAAAAAAAGAAAGAAAGAAAGAAAGAGAGAAAACTGAGCCTCAGAGAGGTTAAATGACTTGCCCAGAGTCACCTCGCTTCACATAACTGGTAGGCATCAGGGGCAAGGCGCACCTACTCCTAACAGCTGGCCCCCCACCTAAGCCACAGCCCCTCCTTGCTCACCTCTTTCCATAACAACCATAACATCTCTTCTCCACCTGATACCCAACGGCTTCCACCCCTCTCATTCACTGAGCACCTACTACGTGCCAGGTCCTTTCAGACCTACTAAACTCTAAGATAATCTCTGGGCATCTAACAGAGGCCATGTGTCAAATCCAGCGAATGACAAAAACAACAGCCAAGACCGTCCAGTGCCTGGAATGTGCAAAAGGCCTCAGTCACATACATTATCACAACAACCTCATCAGGAAGGTGCAATCGGCAGTCCCTCCTGACAGATGAGGAAATCAGAGGTGAAGTCCCCCATTCAAGGTCACATGGCTAGGGAGTGACAGTGCCCCAACTCAAACCCAGGTCTTGCTGACCCTAGAGCCCATGCAGATATAGCTTCCGAAGCTCTTGGCGGCTCCGAACACCAACACCCACTCCCAGGAGTTGGGAGCTGACTTGGCACCAGGTCTCTCCTCGTCACGACAATCCTTCCTGCTGATGATCACTGTCCCCATATTGATGTGGTCAGGTGGGAGAGGGCTCCAGATTCAGATTGGCGTGATCCCTGACCTTTGACCTCTCTCTGGGACCAGGCTTCCCCAACCCCCAGCTTTCCAGATCTCTTCCCCGCAAATACCTAAGGCTCCCTGGGCCCTTCTTTGAGCTCCGGGCTTTCCCCCTTCTGGCACATTCCCCAAACCCCCACTTTATAATCTCTTCTTTCCAGGCCTCCAGCTTCCTGTCTCAGGTTTTCCCAAGAGCCCTCCACCTGCAGCACCTCTCCTCTGTGTTCCTTGACTCCTCCTCTCCCTTTAGCGACCCTTCTAGCCCACTCTCCACTGCCCTCCATGTCTCCTAAGCCATCCTCCATCCTGGAGCCCCTCTGTCCCTCATCAGGGTCCCGCTATAGTCCCCCACCTTCCCATCTCTCCTCCCCAACCCCCCGGAACTTTCTATTACTCCCAGGCCCTCTCTGTGCACTAGCCAGGAGCCTCAGTGACCTACCTAGCCCCTTCCCCTCTCTGACACCCCCTCAGCCAGGCCCTCAAAGCCTGGCCCCATTATGCTTCCTGTGTTATACGTTCTCCCGGTCCCCTCTGGCTCTCTCCCACTGTATCGCTCCACAGGGTACCCCCGCACCCATGCACCTCCTTCCCTTTCTATCGACATCAGGGATTTCTCTAACCCCGTCGCTAATAGGTTCCCCAAGCCTTTCTATCATTCCCGGGGGACACCTCTATGTCCCCAGTCCTGAGACTGTACTAGCCTCCTCTCCTTTAAGACCCTCCCGGACGCCTCTAGCCACTCCGTGTCGTCACCTCAAGAGGCACTCTATGACACCCTAAGTCCCTCCATTCCCCCCACCCTAAAGTTCCCCCGGGGCCTCTCTATCCTCTCCCTCTACGACCGCAATGGCTTTCTATGCCCCGGGCCCCTCTGTAACCCCCGGGCGCCTCAATTCCACGCTCCCCCTCCCTCCAGCGTCTCCCGGCCGCGCTCTCACAGTTCCGGATGTCGGAGATGAACACCGCGAGCCCCCGCATCCCATCGCCCTTGGAGACGGCCGGCATGATGGCGGTGGTGTCGGCTCCAGGCCTGGCCGGGCAGGGCACAGCGCGGCGGGGGCTGGCAGGCGGGGACCGGGAGGAAAGGACCCCAAGCAGCGCGGAGGAGCCCAGCCGGCCGGGGGGGAGGGCGGGTTGGCGGGCGGGCGGGCGGGCGGCAGGCCGCGGCTCCGCCCCCGGCCCCTCCCCTCCCGTCCGCCGTCCTGAGCTATCAGCCTCCCATTGGCTCGGATTACTGCCGCTCAGACTCGGGCTCACCCTCCCCCCCGCGTCCTCTCTCATTGGCCGCTGGACAAAGGCACGCTGCTACGATTGGCCCAGTGGCCCGCTATTTCCGTTCGTAGGAAGGGGGGGGAAGGGGCGTTGCCCGAGAGACGGGAGGAGTTCGGGTACGTGCGGTGGGACCGCCCCCTCCGTGCGGCCGGGTCCGATGCTAATTGGATCCGGCGAAGGGAGGGATTGACATGAAGGAAGGCGGGGGAGTGGGCTCGGGCAGGCGGGACTTGCGTTGATCCTGACCAATGAGCAGGCAGATAGCCCACGCAGGCGCCGCGGATTCGCCAGATTTGCTCTATTCCCGCCCCCAACTGGGCGGTTGTGGGGGCGGGAGAAGGGAGATCATAGGTAGAGAAGGAAGGGAAACGGGGGTTGTCACTCAGCTGGGCTAGGATAGGTGGAGCGTCGCCTGCAATTCCCTGCTGCAGAGAAGTGGTTGGGAGGGGCAAGAAAATGTGAGGTGTTTACTGCGCAAGCGTCCCCCTGTTTCCCTTTCTCCCTCCTCTCTTCCACCCCCGGCTCCTTAAATCTGCCAGGAAGTCTTCCCTTACCCCTCCCCCTCCCGTGTCTAGCGGCTGAGATGTCGAAACCTAATTTCTCAGAACCGAGGAAACAGTAATTTAAATCTAGCCCCATTAGGCAGACCTTAAACCTGAGGTCCAGAGAGGTTGCATGACTTACTTGCCCAAGGTGACACAGCTCAGAATGACAGAGGGGATTTAAACTATATTTTGTTTTTTAACCACTTTCCAATATACAATGTTTTTTGGTTTTGTTTTTGTTTTGTTTGTTTTTTTTTTGTAACCATAACGCCATTCTACAGTTATCAAATCAAAATCGTGAATCGCTCCTCCACCAAACTTGGGAGTTCCTCCTGAGCAAGAATGGGACCTGGTGGGGCACCTGGGTGGCTCAGATGGTTAGGCGTCTGCCTTTGGCTCAGGTCGTGATCCCAGCGTCCTGGGATCGAGCCCCACATCGAGCCCCACATTGGGCTCCTGGCTCGGTGGGGAGCCTGCCTCTCCCTCTCCCTCTGCCTCTCCCCCTGCTCATGCTCTCTCTCTCTCTCTCTCTCTCTCTCTCTCTCTCTGTGTCTCAAATGAATAAATAAAATCTTAAAAAAAAAAATGGGACCTGGTACTGAAGAACGCTGGTTAAAAGGAAGATGAATCTGTTGGTTTGGCCAGACCACCACCCTTAGCACCCCTAGACCCTCTTTGATTGGTTTTGGGGAAGGCAAAGCCTCAGGAACTATGATGCCCCCGGCTACTGAGAAATTTGGGGCAAAGGGAACTTGAGTCCATTTCTGTTATTTAGAGGAACTAAACCCCACATCACTTTTCTAATCTCAGAAGTCTAGTATTCTTGGAACGAGCCTTAAGGGAGTGTCCTGGATCCTGTGAACTTCCACTCTGAATCCCGGAGGGGGGAGGGTAGGGACGGGATGGGGACCAGGACAAGAGCCGAGGCATGCCTTCCGGGTTTAATGGATCGGTTGTCCATTTGGGTTTCCATGGGTCTTGGGGAAATCATTCTGGGTTCTAGGAGGAAGGACATGCTCAGCTGTTTTAGTGACCAGGAGAGTCCATTCCTAATATGGGCTGGGGGTGCTGTCTTCCTCTAAAGAACAGACAGCAGCCCGTTAAAAACAACAAACAATTAATAGGAATGTGAGTTGGAAAAAGTCCTTTTCATGGAAAGATACATTAAGCATTGAAAGGACTGGAGGGACCCACTCATGACATGGGGAAGAAACTTTCTCCCAGGGCTCTTGGATGGGAGTCATTAGACATCTGCCTTCAGCTCAGGTCATGATCCCAGGGTCCTGGGATGGAGCCCCTAATCCAGCCATACATCCCTGCTCAATGGGAGGAGGCCTGTTTCTCCCTCTCCCACTCCCCCTGCTTGTGTTGTGTTTCTCTCTGTCAAATAAATAAATAAAATCTTAAAAAAAAAAAAAAAACAACTTTCTCCCTAAGGATAATACTTTTAAAAATATATATTAGTAATGGGGTTTGAACTTGTCCTCTTTTTGAGGGATGTGATGATGAGAGACATGGAGAGTCCCAAGAGCAGAAAAGTGCGTCCAAGTGTGTCTTCCCTGCCTCAACTTTCCACCTCGCTGTCACCCACCACCTTCCACCCTTCACCCAGAGCCCTGGGGCCAGATGGAGTTAACTCTGGTTTGTCAGTGTGTGGGGGGAAGGATGTCCTGAAATAAGGTCCTGTAGGGGCACCTGCCTGGCTCAGTCGTTAAGTGGCTGCCTTCAGCTCAGGTCATGATCCCAGGACCCTGGGATCGAGTCCTGCATCAGGCTCCCTGCTGCTCTGCTGGAAGCCTGCTTCTCCCTCCCACTCCCCCTGTTTGTGTTCCTGCTCTCGCTATCTCTCTCTGTCAAATAAATAAATAAAATCTTTTAAAAAGAAAAGAAATAAGGTCGTGTCATAGATAGGTGGGGGAACTCAGTCCTCCCGCCACACACACCCAACTCCAGAGCCCATGAGGTAGCTAAAACTTAATTTTTAAGACTGGGCCTAAAGCAAAGTTCTAATAGGGAGTCAGATTGGGAAGGCCAATTTAACCTTCTGGAAAACCTGGGATTGTTTAATCCTGTGTGGGGGCACACATGCCCCCCCGGCCCCCAAGGAACTCATGTGCTAAACCCTGTTGAATTAGAGCAGTACATACAAATAGAAATACAGTGGGAGCCACATATATAATTTTCAATTTACTCCAGCCACATTTTTTAGAAAAGTTTTCAAAAAGGTGAAATTAATTTTAATATATAATTTTAATAATATATTGTATTTAACCTAATATACCCAAATATTGTCATTGCAACATATTTGCCATTTTAATTTTCCCATGCCTTTTTTTTTTTAAAGATTTTATTTATTTATTTGACAGAGAGACAAAGGGAGAGAAGGAACACAAGCAGGGGGGAGTGGGAGAGGGAGAAGCAGGCCTCCCGCGGAGCAGGGAGCCTGACGCGGGGCTAGATCCCAGGATCCTGGGATCATGACCTGAGCCAAAGGCAGACGCTTAACTGACTGAGCCCCCCAGGTGTCCCTAATTTTCCTAAATCTTTGAAATCTGTGTTTTCTATTTATAGCACATCTTGGTTGAGACTCACCACATTGTAGCACTTAGTAGCCACAGGCCATTGATCATGGCTGTGAACTTGGACAGCATAGAATTATAGGACAGTTTAAAAAAAAATTAAAAACAGGGGCACCTGGGTGGCTCAGTTGTTAAGCCTCTGCCTTCGGCTCGGGTCATGATCCCAGGGTCCTGGGATCGAGCCCTGCGTCAGGCTCCCTGCTCTGCGGGAGGCCTGCTTCTCCCTCTCCCACTCCCCCTGCTTGTGTTCCCTCTCTCGCTCTGTCTCTCCCTGCCAAATAAATAAATAAATAAAATCTTTTTTAAAAATTAAAAACAATTACAGGGCTGATTTGAGCAAGATCATGATGGGGTTCAGGAGCTCAGAGGCTTACCTACTGTTAGGTTTTAAGACCAGACTACGAACAAGTCCACATATGGGGGGGTCTAATGAGCTTTGAGCAGACCCTTTTTGGCTTTAAGATGGAGCATTAAGAGGAAACCCCAAGGGCTCTCAAGGATTTCATGGATTGAACCAGCAATAACTTCTAAGAATCTGGCCTCAGCAAACCAACTCTTGATTTTCTCCAGAAAAACTGTATTCATCCCCAGTCTTCCCATTTGGGCAAATGGGCCCTCCATGATTCCCCCAGGCACTCTTGCCAGAAGCCTTCCCTGTCCCTCACCCCAAACTAAGGGTAGAACACATCTGAAGTCAGCCAGCTCCCTCTGTCGCCACTCTCTCACCCCATGCAGACCACCATCACCATCATCTCTTACCCAGAATCTTGCAGTGATGTCCCTCACGACTCTCCCTGCTTCCATCCTGGCCACACACAGTCCATCCCCCCCACATACCAGGGCACTTTTTTTTTTCTTTATTATTATTTTTTTTAAGATTTTATTTATTTGACAAAGAAAGAGAACACAAGTAGGCAGAGCGGCAGGCAGAGAGAGAGGGAGAAGCAGGCTCCCTGCTGAGCAGGGAGCCCGACGGGGGGCTTGATCCCAGGACCCTGGGATCATAACCTGATCCGAAGGCAGAGGCTTAACCGACTGAGCCACCCAGGCAACCCCCCTACTGGATTATTTTAAAGCAAGCTGTCCTCATCAGACCATTTCATGCCCATCACCAAGTTTCTACCCCAACATTTTATTATGAAAATTTCTAAATATTCAGAGTTGAAACATCTGTACAGTGAACATGCAAATAACCTCCCTCTCAACCTCCACTCTATTATTAACATCGTACTCCACTTGATCTAGCACATATTTCTCCATCTGGCCTTCCCTCCCTCCTTCCATCGATCCATTTCATGTTTTGATGCGTACAAAAGATAAGTTTCAGACATCAATGCAGCTCATCTCTGTTGTGGGTTGAGTTGTGTCCTAACATCATCCTGTCTCCATGTCGAAGTCCTAAACCCGCAGGACTTGTGAATTTGACTATTTTGACATAGGGTCTTTGCAGATGATCAGGTTAAGTTGAGGTGATGTGAGTGGGCCCTAATCCAGGATGACCGTGTCCTTATTTTTTCTTAAGTTTATTTATTCATGCATTTACGTAATCTCTACACCCAACATGGGGCTCAAACTCATGACCCTGAGATCAAGAGTCACATGCTCCTCCTACTGAGCCAGCCAGGCACCACGACCATGTCCTTTTTTTTTATTAAGATTTTATGTATTGGGCGCCTGGGTGGCTCAGTTGGTTAAGCGACTGCCTTCGGCTCAGGTCATGATCCTGGAGTCCCAGGATCAAGTCCCGCATCGGGCTCCCTGCTCGGCAGGGAGTCTGCTTCTCCCTCTCCCACTCCCCGTTTGTGTTCCCTCTCTCGCTGTGTCTTTCTTTGTCAAATAAATAAATAAAATCTTTAAAAAAAAAAAAAAGATTTTATGTATTTATTTATTTATTTTAAGATTTTATTTATTTATTCATGAGAGACAGAGAGAGAGGCAGAGGGAGAAGCAGACTCCCCAGGGAGCAGGGAGCCTGATGTGGGACTCGATCCCAGGACCCTGGGATCATGACCTGAGCCGAAGGCAGACGCTTAACCATCTGAGCCACCCAGGCGCCCTATGTATTTATTTTAGTGAGAGAGCCCGCGCGCACGAGCAGGGGGAGGGGCACAGGGAGAAGCAGACTCCCTGTTGAATGTGGAGCCCAAAGCGGACCTCAATCCCAGGACCCTGAAATCATGACCTGAGTCGAAGTCAAACACTTAACTGACCCAGGCGCCCCCAAGACCATGTCCTTAAAATGGGGGAAGCTTAGATGCAGAGATAGACATATACAGAGAGAAGACAATGTGAAGACATAGGAGAGGAACATCTATAAGCCAAGTCATGCCTGAGCTACCAGAAGCAAGGAGAGAGGCTTGGAACAGATACCCCCTCACAGCTGCCGACACCTTGATCTTGGACTCCTGGCCTCCGGAACCGGGAGACAATAAATGTCTGTTGTTTAGTCTGTGGGACTTTGTTATGGCAGCCCCAGGAAACTGCTACAACCCCAAATCCTTCAAAATGCCTATCATTGACTATAGTTCAATGTCTGTTTAGTTTCTTTTTTTAATAGGCAAGAGCCACACGCAATAGAGGGCTCACATCCCAAGTGGGCAAATTGATGGGCTTCCACGAGCCCAGGCACCACCATCCCCTGGTGTTGATCCTCCTTGTATCACTTGCCAACATCTGGTATTTTGGTTTGTTTCTGTCTGTTGTCTGCCTGCTCTCCGCCCCCCCCCCCCCAACCAACCCAAAATGTTGGATCCTCCAGTACTGGGACTCAATCCTCATTCACCATGGTCTCCCCAGATCCCAGAAAGTGCCAAGTCTAGGATACTGCATGAAGAATCAAGTATGAATGGAGGAATGGGGGTTGGGTGACCCCACAGTCTCAGGGGAAGGGAAGTTAAACTCCTCCCAAGAACCAGTGGGCCCAACCATTGTAAGTTCTGGACTAGAATGAATAAATCCATTGCAATTCTAATGGAAGGGACATATTTGGTAAAACTTGAAGGTGTTTGGGGCACCTGGGTGGCTCAGTATGTTAAGCGTCTGCCTTCAGCTCAGGTCATAATCCCAGGGTCCTGGGATTGAGCACCCTGTCGAGCTCCCTGCTCAGCGGAGAGCCTGCTTCTCCCTCTCCCTCTGCCTAATGCTCCACTTGCCTGTGCTCTCTCTCTCTTTCTCTGTCAAATAAAAAAAAAAAAAAAGAAAGAAAGAACTAGAAGGTGTTCCCAGAAACCCCCTGGGGGAATGCGCTAGCCAGTACCTTTTTCTACTCCTATGCCCCCCCCCCTTACTGGGGCCCAGTGGTTGGGTCCTTTATGAGGCAGGCTGTGGGGACAGGGATTTTGAGGGTCCCTGGTCAGAGTAGGTGGAGAGTCTCAGAGGAAGGAGGCCTTGGGAGCAGGGCCCCCCACACGCCATGGCGAGCGTGGTGGTGAAGACAATCTGGCAGTCCAAAGAGATCCATGAGGCTGGGGACCCCCCTGCAGGGGTCGAGAGCCGCTCCCAGCTGGTCCCCGAGGCTCCTGGGGGGGTGACCACCCCGGCCAAGGGGATCACAAAGAAAAAGAAGGCCGTGTCGTTCCACGGGTGGGTTTGTCGCACCCTGTCGGGGACGGTCCTAGCGCCCATCACTGCCTCCAACAGAGCACGAGTCCCACCGTGGGTGCTGGAGGAAGGGGAGGGGAAGCAGAGGAGAGGGCAGAGGAAGGGCAGACAAGAGGGTGGTGGCAGAGTGTGGGAGGTAGAGAGAAAGAAGGTAGTGGGGATGAAGGGAGGGAGGAAAAGGTCAGTGGGGAAGGAAAAACTCAGGAGAAGGAGGGAGGACTAATGGAGGGAGAAGGAAGTAGGCAGCGTGGAGGGAGAAGGAAGAAGACATTAGGCAGGGGGGACAGAGGAGGAAGAAAGTGGGTGGTGAGGTAGGAGTCAGAGCAGGGGGTGTGGAGACAGGGAGGTGGGAGGGGCCGTACCCCCTGGGCCTGCACCTTGAGCCCCCTGCTGGCTTCTCCTCCCCAGGGTGGAGCCTCGGATGTCCCACGAGCCAATGCACTGGTGCCTGAACCTCAAACGGTCCTCAGCCTGCACCAATGTGTCACTGCTCAACCTGGCTGCCATGGAGCCCACGGACTCCTCAGGGACAGACTCAACTACGGAAGACAGTGGCCTGCTTGCCCAGCCGGTGCCCCCTGCCTCCCCCACCCCACCCTGGGCTTCAGATGACCCAGACATCACGGAAATACTGGTGAGGGGCCCTGGCTGGGGAAGACGAGCGTCTTCACCCTGGTGGTGGGCAAATACTGAGGATGGGGGGAGGGGTGTCTTCTTGACTTGGAATGAGAAGGTTCTGGTGACCCTCAGGAACTGCCTCCTTCTCCCCGAACGGCCAGCCATGACTCGGTTCCATCCTGGGTGGAATGATGCTTGTTGCCTAGGAATTGGTCTTTAGTTCATCCACTCCTTTCCACATGTCCTGGGTGAGGCTGGGGCCATAGCTAGGAGTCAGGCCAGGTTCCCAAACTTGGGGAGGTCCTGGTCTGGTGGGGGTGACAGAGACAGACCGTGGTGATAAATTTCCATAATTGAGGTAACACTGGGTTTCCCAGAGAAGGGCCACTCAAACCAGGCTGGGACTATCAGAGAATGCTTCCTGGAGGAAGCAGTGTTGGACCTGGGCTTTGACGGTGTAGTAGGAGTTCTCTGAGGGGACCACCTAAGCATCTGAGGCAAAACTGGGAGGTGAGTAAGATCTAGGGGGAACTTAGAGAATTCCTGGCTAGAGCATGGAGTGCTACGGTTTGATCCTTTAACTTCCCTGCCAACCTCTATTGCGGCCAGGCTTCCACTGAACCAGGCCCTGAACTGGACTTGACACGGACTCTGAGAATTACATGAATAATAACCATGGTCGTAATGATGCTAATAAGATTCAGTAGCATTTACTGAGCACTTTCTATGTTCCGGGAGCCTCAGTTTCCCCATCTGTAACACAGAAATGCACGTTTGTTCTTCCAACAAATGTGTCTTGAATACCTACGATGCACCGGGCCCTGGTGTAGGAGCAGGAAATAGAGCAAGACAGAGTTCTGGATGTAACCACACCCACTTCATGAGGTTGTCATGACAATGAAGTGGTGCTCCTTCATGTAAAATGTTTATTTAGCACAGTAGCCAGCCGTGAGCCCAAAAGTGTTGCTTATTGTTTTTTATTTATCCCCATTTCACAGATGAAGATATTGAGGCCTAAGAAAGGTTGAATAGCAGAGCCAAGGTCACGCAGCTTATAAGGAGTGGAGGCAGTCTTAGGAGATGGGGGAGCACCCTGGGTGCTTTTGGGGGGCAACAGAGGTCACTGTGGGAGCACTAAAGAGGGTGGCCTTGGCCCAGTTGGCCATGACCAAGGGAGGCTTTCCAGAAAAGGCAACACATAGGCTGGATCTTGAAGATAAGGAAGGCATTCCCCAAGCAGAAGACAAGGAATGGTGTTCTAGCTAGCTGGAACAGTTAAGTGCAAAAGAACAGGGGTTTAAAAGAGCCTGGAGAATGGGAGTAACTACAAACTGGTCTCTGGGGCTGGAGTGTGGTGTGTGAGAGAGACAAGGCTTGAGTGGGGAAGGCAGAGGCCACACAGGCTGAGAAATGTGGGTGTGTGCCTGAGGGCAATGGGGAGCCACTGAGGGTTCCTGGGTAGTTTGGGAGTTTTGACTCCAGTCCCATTTACTAGGCACCCACTATGTACCAGACACTGTGTCACGTCCCTGTGGTGAGGGTCTCTTTTTCTTCCGTTGGAAGTTCTGCCAGGGAACTGGTATAATTACCAGTTTAAAGATGAAAACAAATAATAGGCACAGAGAGGTGGAGTGACCTTTGCAAGGTAGGAGAGCCTGTGAGAGACAGGGCGAGGACTAGAAGCCAGGTGATGTGAGAGCAAAGGTCCTTTCTTTCCCTAGAAGACTCTTCTGCAGCTGGTGTGGGGATGTTTGGAAGACAGAGGCTGGAGGCAGGGAGGCAGGGAGGCGGGACAGGAGACTGCACTAGGGTCCAGGATAGAAGGGCCAGGTGGAGAGAACAGGGCAGAGAGACATCTCCCCCTGCCAGAATGGTGTCCTCCTTCTCTATGAGCATTGCTCAGACAGTACCTGCAGAAGTCTGCCTCCCACCAGAGCTGTTTCTGAGTCATGTTCCCCAGTGGATCGTGACACCCAGGGGAGAGCTCGCTTTGGGGCTGCAGGGATGAATCAGCCTTCAAGGGGGTTCAGGTTCTTTCTCTGTGAAATGGAAAAGTAATGATGGCTAACACTCAGGGGTATGTGCAGAGCAGGGAGAGTGTGGACAGCAAGAGCACATCCTGGCACTCGGCACCTGAGCCACATCAGGAGAGAACGCTGGAGACAGGCAGAGAGGAGGGGGCGGAAACCCAGGGAGAGAGGGGTAGAGACGGCGGGGTGGGGGTGGGGGGACAAAGACCTGGGAAGCGGGGCAGAGACCAGAGGGCGCGGGGCAGAGACTAGAGGGAGGGGACAGAGATCCGGGAGTGGGGGACAGAGACCAGAGGGAGGGGTACAAAGATCCAGAGAGACATGGGACAGAGAACTAGAGAGAGGGAAGAGAACTGGATGCCTGGGGACCGTGGTTGAGATGACAAGTCCCAGACTGGACAGAGAACAGCAGGAGAACACGAAGCAGATGGCTTTGGCTCCTGTCTTAAGCTTTGACACCTTTATGAGGCCAGAGGAGGAACTGAGATGGTGGTATTGCTTTTTGAGAAGGTCAGTGAATCAAAGCAAAGATGCACAGGGCAGGGCTTTTGACCTCTGCTTGGGACTTCTCTTGCTCTCTGCAGAATTCCTGGAAGCTGCTGTAAAATCTTGGTGCTAAGCCCCTTCCTGGTAATTCCTGCCCTGCTGTCATTATTTTTAACAACTCTGACACTAATCACTGAGTTTGCCTTATCGATCATACCATCTTGTTGACCCTTCCTCACTGCCATCTGAGCCAAGGTATCATCATTCCCATTTTATGAGAAAGGAAACTGAAGCAGGCTCAGAGGGGGGGTTAGATTGCTGAGTTACAGCCTACAGGTGGCCATGGAGGGATCTGTCCCCGTCTCTGGCTCCCCCCTCACCATCATGCCATTCACTTCTCAGCCAGGGCTGACAGGCTCTGCCTTCACCACCCCCTGATCTGCTCTCAGTGAAGCGGAAACTCACCTCCAGGGACCCAAACTGCCCCTTCTCAAGAAGTGTTGACCAAGAGCCTTTCTGAGCCAGCCTGTGTTCCTTCCAACAGCAGCCCTGGGAGGTTAGCTATTAGCCCCATCTCCATGTGACAGGGAGGGTAACAGAGGTGCAGAGAGGTGAAACCCTCTCCCTGAGATCCTACAACTACTAAGTGGGAGAACTGAGTTGACCCCAGGACCTGCTTTCCTTGTTTCCCAGAATGGCTACAGGAAGCCCAAGACCCTCGGGGTCTTAGGTTAAAAATATCACTTGTGTATTGGTTAGCTATCGCTGTGAAACAAATTATCTCCAAACTTCAACCAAACAACCTGGAATGGCTTAGCTGGGTGGTTCTGGCTCAGGATCCCTCATGAGGTTGGAGTCAAACTTTCAGTAGGGGCTGCAGTCATCTGAAGGCTTGACTGGGGCTGGAGGTTGCTCATCCACATTCACACGGCTCTTAGTGGGAGACTCATTTCCTGGCCCCATGGGGCTCCCCACAAGTGGCTGCTTATGACATGGCAGTTACTCCCCAGAGCAAGAGAGGGCAAGCAGGAAGCCATGGTTCCTTTTATGAACTCGTCTCTTAAATCACACACCATCACTTCTGCCTGATTCTGTTTACTACGTGTGAGAGTCACTAAGTCCAGTTCACACTCAAGTGAGGGGGATAAGGCTCCTCATTTTAAAGGGGCATCAAAGAATTTGTGGACATATTTCAAAACACAGTATTTTGTGGGGGGTTATTTGTACAAGCCACTCATCAGGATGAGGAAGTTCCCTTCTATTTCCAGTTGATGAGTGTTTTTATTATGAAAGTGTCAGATTTTGTCAAATGCTATTCCTATTGACATGACTATGTGTGTTTTCTTCTTTTATTCTATTGATATATTACATTGATTTTCATATGGATTTAAAAATTTATTTTCAGGCGCCTGGGTAGCTCAGTCGTTAAGCGTCTCCCTTCGGCTCAGGTCATGATCCCATGGTCCTGGAAATCAAGCCCCACATCAGGCTCCCTGCTCAGCGGGAAGCCTGCTTCTCCCTCTCCCACTTCTGCTTGTGTTCTCCCTCTCACTCTCTCTCTCTTTCAAATAAATAAAATCTTTAAAAAAAATTTATTTTCATGTTAACCAAACTTGCATTTGTAGGATAAATCCTACTTGGTCATGGTGTAAATCCTTGTTTTTATGCTGCTGGATTTGGTTTGCTAGACTTTTGTTGAGGATTTTGTGGCTGTATTCAGAAGGGATATTGGGTTCTAGTTTTATTTTCTTGGAATGTCTTTGGTTCTGGTACTAGGGTAACACTGACCACATAGAATGAGTTAGGAACTGATCCCTCCTCTTCTATTTTTGTTTTTGAAGAGTTGGAGTTGCATTGATGGCAATTCTTTCTTAAAATGACTGGTAGAATTCACTAGTGAAGCCATCTGGTACTGGGCTTTTCTTTGTTGGAACTAACTCAATTTCTTTACTTAATGGTCTATACAGATGTCCGAGTTCTCTTTGAATCACTTTTGATAGTTTGTGTGTTTCTAGGAATTTCCTTGTTTCATCAAAATAGTCAAATCTGATGGTACACAAGTGTTCATAGTAGTCCCTTTTTAAAAAATATTTTGGGGTGCCTGGGTGGCTCAGTTGGTTAAGCGTCCAACTCTTGATTTTGGCTCAGGTCATGATCTCAGGGTCGTGGGATTGAGCCCCACGTTGGGCTCCATGCTCAACACAGAGTCTGCTTGTCCCTCTCTCTCTGCTCCTCCCCCCACTTGTGCTCTCTCTCTAAAATACAAAAAAATAGGGGCACCTGGGTGGCTCAGTCATTAAGCGTCTGCCTTCGGCTCAGGTCATGATCCCAGGGTCCTGGGATCGAGCCCCACATCGGGCTCTCTGCTCAGCGGGGAGCCTGCTCCTCCCTCTCCCACTCCCCCTGCTTGTGTTCCCTCTCTCGGTGTCTCTCTCTGTCAGATAAATAAAATCTTTAAATAAAATAAAATACAAAAAAAAAATAAAAATAAATAAATAAAAAGTATTTTATTTTTAAGCAATCTCTACACCCAACATGGGGCTTGAACTCACAACCCTGAGATCAAGAGTTGCACACTCCACTGACTGAGCCAGCCAGGTGCCCTGTTCATAGTATTCTCTTATAGTCCTTTTTCTTTCCCTAATCTTGGTAGCAATGTCCCCTCTTTCCTTCCTGATTTTATTGAGTCTTCTCTTCCGTGGTCAGTCTTGCTATAGATCTGTAAATTGTGTTGATCTTTTCAAAAACCAACTTCCAGTTTTGTTGATTTCATCTATTCTCGATTTCAGTGTTTGTGCACTCCAGTCTTTATTGCTTCTTCTGCTAGCTTTGGGTTTGTCTTGCTCTTCTTTTTCTAGTTTCTTAAGGAGGAAAGTTAGGTTATTGGCTATGAGTTCTTTCTTCTTTTTCGAAGGTGTTTAGAGCTCTGAATTTCCCTCAAAGTACTGCTTTCACTGCATCCATAAGTTTTTGGATGTTGTGTTTTCACTTTCCTTTATCCCAAAGTGTTTAATATTTTTTCTTTCATTTTTCTACTCATTGGTTGTTTATGAGTGTGTTTAGTTTCCCTAGATTTGTTAGTTCCCCAAATTTCTTTCTATATTGACTTATTTTTAAGATTTTTTTTTTAGAGAGAGAGAGACCGGGGGGAGGGGCAGAGGAAGAGGGAGAGAATCTTTTTCTTAAAGATTTATTTATTTGAGAGAAAGAGAGCGTGTGTGTGTGTGCGCACTGGCGGGGGGCAGGGGAGAGAACCTTCAAGCAGACTCCCCATTGAGTGCAGAGCCTGACACAGGGCTTGATCTCACCACCCATAAGATCATGATCTGAGCCAAAACCAAGAGTTGGACGCTTAACTGATTGAGCCACCCAGGTGCCCCTTTTTCATGCATTTTAAAGCTCTGTTTGGTGAATATATATATTTATACCGGTTGTGTCTCCCCAATTACTAAGCTCTTACAGGTTTGGGCAGTTTTTTCATTTTTTTTATGGAGGGGTGGAATTTTGGGGTTCCACTATTTTACTTACTTCACCTTAATACCATATTTCTTTTCATACCTGTTCTCCAGAGCAATCATTCCAGAAACATGATGCTGTCCCTATCTTACAATGGAGGAAATTGTCCTCTCTTTTCTCTTTTTGTGTTATTAGTTCAGCAACTCTGAAGGAAACCAAAGTAACTGGCTAAAGTAAGATAGTTGTCTCACATAAAAGTCTCAACAAGCATAGCAGGCTTGCTCTTCAAATGCAGCAGGTTACAGGCTCCTGTGTTCTGGCGGTTCAGATATTAAGTCACAAGTTTGGCTGCCGTAACAAAAAGACACAAAATAGCAGCAGTTAGGCAAGATACAAAATGTTCTCTCTCACTTGTAAGTCTTCACAAGTGATTGGAATTTGAGTACACGGGCTCCACAGTGTTGGGGATTCAGGCTTCTATCTTGTTGCATCCTCCAACTGGTCCAAGATGGTTGCTCAGCCTTTAGCCATCAACTTTGCATTCCAGCCAGTAAGAAGAAAGAAAGTGGGACATTTCCCCTCTTTTCTTTTCTTTCTTTTTTTTTTTTTTTTTTAAGATTTTATTTATTTATATGACAGAGAGAGACAGCGAGAACAGGAACACAAGCAGGGGGAGCAGGAGAGGGAGAAGCAGGCTCCCCGCGGAGCAAGGAGCCCGATGTGGGACTCGATCCCAGGACCCTGGGATCATAACCTGAGCCGAAGGCAGACGCTTAACGACTGAGCCACCCAGGCGCCCCCCCTCTTTTCCTTTAATAAAGGCATGACTTAGAAATTGCCTACAACTTGCTACTCACATCCCATTGGCTGAAACTTTGTCATATGGCTACACCTACTTGCGGGGGAGTCTGGGAAATGTAGTCTTTGGCTGTATAGTCATGTGCCGGGCTAACTCCTCTGTAAACGTGAAAGAGCAGAGAGTGGATCCTGCCACATGCAGCCCCCTTGAGCCATAGTTTGCTTGGCATGAGTCACAGAGCATTTGCTGGCGATATAAAGTGGGGATGATCAGAGGCTGTGTGGTGTCATGGTTTAAAACAAAGGCTCTGGGTTTCATTTCCGACAAGGCCATCTCATGGGCTGTGTAAAGGGGTCTTGCTTCTCTAAGCCTCATTTTCCTCATTTGCAAAATGGGCCAAATGACCTCAGGAGGTGTGCCTTTGAGGAATAAAAGGGAAAATGTGTGTGTTTGGCCTGGTGCGTAGTGAGTGCTTATATCTGGAAAGTGGGTTATCTTAAAATTTGTTTCCAGTGCCCAGAGTGAAAGACAGCATGTGTTTTAACAGTTTATCTTATTTATGTCTGTGGATCCCAGGGGCATTTATCTCTGTTTGGTTGAGACCATCCTTCTCCCATGTGTCTGAGTGCACCCCCAACCTCCCACTCCCTCCTGGATCCTACTTATTTTCCTTCCATTCCACCAAGCAGAAAACGAGCCCACCCCCCGGTTTTATGGAGCAGGAATACCAAGAATCAAAGAGGTGCAGCCCTGGCCCGAGGTCACACAGCCATTCCAGGGCAGAATCGAGGTGTAAACCGGGCCTCCTCCCAGTTCTGGACCTTTTTCTTGCTCCCACACACCCACTGACCCACCTTCTCCCATTCTTTCCCCAGAGTGGGGTCAACAGTGGATTGGTCCGTGCCAAAGACTCCATCACCAGCTTGAAGGAAAAGACCACCAGGGTTAACCAGCATGTGCAGACGCTGCAGGTGGGGGGACCCCCCCAAACACCTCTTTTTCCTCCACAGCCACGTTCCCCTCTTACAGCTCTCCTCCAACGCAGTGTACCCACTGCCCGGGTTGGATGGTTGGGGCTCAGAAGGGAAAGGGACCTTCCCCGGGCCCAGCCTCTCCTCCCCAGGGGGTATTCCCTGTGACCCGGCTAACCTCTCCTCCATTCTGTGCGCCAGAGTGAGTGTTCTGTGCTGAGTGAGAATCTAGAAAGAAGGCGACAAGAAGCGGAAGAACTAGAAGGGTACTGTAGTCAACTCAAGGTGAGTGGCTGGGCGGCAAGAGTGGGGTGGGGAGAAGGGAGCGGAAGTAGGAAGAAGTGAGGGCGGGAAGAAATGTGAGGAGGCATGGAGTCATAGACCAGAGCGAGGTGGAAGTGGGCAAGTAGCCTGGGAGGGGGTCTAAGGAGAAAGCCCTGCCTTACGCCAAGGGAACCAGGTGGATAAGGGACAGACCAATGAGCAGAAGGCAGGCTTCCGGGGAAGAAGTGGGTGTGTCTTGTCGGAGGGGTTGGAGCCTATATTAAACTAGCGAGGGTAGGGGTTGGGAGGCGGAACTGGAATGGGAAGGCAGGGCCCCTGCCTTGGTGTCCTGACCCAGGAGAACTGCCGGAAGGTGACCTGGTCGGTGCAAGATGCTGAAATAAAAACCAACGTCCTGAAGCAGAACTCTGCCCTGCTGGAGGTGAGGGGGGGATTTGGGGAAGAGGCTCAGACGCACGAGGTACTTGAGGTAGACTTCAGGTGGGACTTCCCGCCCTGCCACCCCCACCACCACACTCGCCCCTTCACATTCATGGTCATATTCCTCCATGCACAGTCACATTCGGTGAGTGATTTGTGTCGGACTTTGAGCAGGAATGCCTGTCCTGCCCACATTCCCACTCACTTCCCAGCAAAATGTTGGAAAATCTTCCACTGTCCTTCCTAAACAGGAGGGACTGGAATTTGACACCACGGAGAACTGGAGTGGGGGTGGAGGGCTGGATGGAGACATGGAGGCAGGCATTCGGAGGTTAAAGTGAATCGGCCTCCAGCTAGGCTTCAAATGGGACAAGCCTCCCTAGTAACAGCAGTCAAGAGTCCATTTAGACTTGAAGCGGGACTTCCCGATATTCTATTCCACATCCATTTACTTTCCAATCTCGGGGATTCAGTGGGCAGCTTTGAGGGTGGAGGCGGCTGTGGGAGGCAAGGGTCTAGACGCTGTAACCCTGCCTTCCTCCCCTGCCCAGGAGAAGCTGCGTTACCTCCAGCGGCAACTGCAGGATGAGACCCCGCGGAGGCAGGAGGCCGAGCTGCGAGAGCTGGAGCAGAAGCTGGACGCTGGCCTCTCTCGGCATGGCCTGGGCCCCACCAACCAGTCCCCTGGCTGCTCTGGCCCTCCAGGGAGCCCCGACGAACCCCCACGACCGCGCAGCATGGCCCCAGGCGGCTGGGGTATGGGGCCCCGGGCAGGGGAGGGCCCCATCATAAGCGAGCAGGAGATACAGAAGGTCTCCGTTGGCCTTGAGGAGCTGAGGCGAGTGGGAAAGGGGGGCGGTGTGAAGCCTCAAGGAGCTAAAATGGGTGGGTCCGGCGGTGGAACCTCGAAGATCTTTGGGGACAGGGCCTAGGAGGTGGAGCCTCAAAGAGCCTAGGAGGGAGTGCGTTGGGAATGGTGACCTGGAAAGGCCGGACTTCAAAGAACTGAGTTTGAGTATAGGGTTGGCCGAAGGGAGGTCCGCGTCTGGTGAAACTAGGGTGGGTGGGTTTGGGTAGGCGAGAGGTCCTCGGAGGCTCCAACTTCAAGGGGACAAAGTTGGGGTGAGCGGTGCCTTTTTGTCTGGTGGAACTGATATGGAGCTGGGGGGCAAGACCAGGGAAGGGCCAGGACGCCGGATAAGGGGATAGAGGCAGGGTTCTGTAGGACATGGGAGGATTACAAGAAATGGACAGGACAGGAGAATCTGGGGGCTGGATGGGTCCAGAGCCATGGGCGGGGCGGGGCTGCCGGGGACGTGTCCAAACCTGAGCCTTGACCGGATCCTTACCTCTGCCTCTCCAGGAGGGAGGTGTCCTCGCTGACTGCCCGCTGGCATCAGGAGGAGGGAGCGGTGCAGGAGGCCCTGCGGCTGCTCGGGGGCCTGGGCGGCAGGCTCGACGGCTTCCTGGGCCAGTGGGAGCGGGCGCAGCGTGAGCAGGCGCAGGCGGCGCGGGGCCTGCAGGAGCTGCGGGGCCGGGCGGACGAGCTGTGCACCATGTAAGAACCAAGGCGAGGGCACGGCCAGGGGTGGGGGGCGGGGCCTTGAAGGAAAGTGATGGGCCAATCAGCTGGGGCCTAGCGGTAGAGACCGTGGACTGGCAGGAGGAAGCTCTAATTAGAAGGTAGGGGGCGTGCTATACCCAATAAGGACGGAAGGGCGGGGCCAACTAGAGAAGGGTCGAGTTCCATACCTTAAAAGGACAAAGGGAGGAGTCAAGTCAGAAGGGGGAAAGCCATTGAGAGAACAGGGAGGGGCACTCCAGGACTTAAAACACAAAGGAAGGGCCAATCAGAGCAGAGAGGGGCGGGCGTGGCGGGAGTATTGCAGACTAGATGCGAACCGAGGAGCTGGGCTGATAAAGGGTGGAGTGCGGAGAGGACTTTACTGTTGGAGAGGCGACCTCGCAGCACGCAGCACGGGTTACTCTCACACCTCAGGGTGGAGCGATCAGCAGTGTCTGTGGCTTCACTGAGGAGCGACCTGGAGGGACTGGGCCCAGTGAAACCTATTCTGGAGGAGCTGGGGCGGCAATTTCAGAGCTCTCGAAGAGGGTCTGACCTCTCCATGAACCTGGATCGGCCGCCCCAAGGCTCCTGTGCCCGCTATGCCAGGTAAGGGGACGGGGCCTGGCGGGGCCTGGTGCATTCTGGGTCATGTTGACAGCACATTGAAGATGGGGCACTGACCAAGAGCAGGGGGTGGAGGCGGAGGGGGGGCACGGGGTTCACTTCAGGTTATAGGATATCCCCATGCATTTTAGGACAGGCTAGTCCTGCTGCGTTATGGCAGCCAGATTTTCCCCCCTCCCTACAAAGTGAAGTCAGTGTCTTCTGGAACACAAGTTTTGATACCTTTCGAGCATCCTGGATTTCTAGCGCATTGTGGGAAGGTTGGGATGTGGCACTTGGTGGGAGGCAGGGTTTCTCCGTGCATTGTGGGAAAGGTGAGACCTTGGTGCTTTGGACAACCAAGGGGTACCGTGCTTGGTCCGTATTGGGAAGTGAGGGACTTCCAGTACAATATGGGATCACGTTTAACTAGTTCATTGTGGGAAATGTTTTTTGTTTTTGTTTTTTTTATGAACCAAGGGCTGTCTGGTACCCTTTGGGAGTGGGAATCCCCAGGCATTGTAGGAACTCACACTGTGAAAACAAAGGAAACCTGATGCACTGTAGGTTGGCCCCAGTGCATGGTGGGAAGGTTGCATGGGTGCATAGTGGAGGCAGGATCTGGGTGGAGGCGGGGCGGCTGGGAATGGGGCATCTGTGAATGGAGTTGGTACTAGGCTTCTTACACCTGGTGATGGCCCCTCCCTCAGCCAGGGGTCACAGCTGTCCACAGAGTCCCTGCAGCAGCTGCTGGAGCGCGCACTGACCCCACTAGTGGACGAGGTGAAGCAGAGAGGCCTGGCTCCCGCCTGCCCCAGCTGCCAGAGGCTACACAAGAAGATTCTGGTACCAGGAACCATAGGCCATCATGGCCCACTTTTCTGTCAGGGGAGCGGGAGGGGAGCCCCGGACACAAGGATACTGTTGGGGTGTGGCAGGACGGGAAGCAGTAAGCTGTGGGCAGCATGGGGGGATGGGGAAGCAGTTTAGTGGTAAGTCATAGGTCAATCATTATGGAACCCGGGGTGATGGCCTTGGGCCCAAAGCACGATGACACGTTGGATCTGGTGCACTGTGGGGTGCAGGAAACAGACACCAGTCTATAGCTTCATGGAATATAAGCCTGATTTTCTATAGACCTTAAGAGAGGCAATATGGGATCATTGAGGTTAGACAGGGGACCCAGCAAAGAGAGGTCATCAGAAGGTAATGCATTATGGGAATTGGAGCTATAGCTCTTCACGAGGCATTGCATCCCAGGCTCACGCCCAGTAGCTGACGGGACTTGAGGCCTGTGTACATTCTGAAACATAGATATCTAATGTATTATGGGATACTGGCCTCATGTATGATGGGGTCCAAGTTTGCAGTAAGTGAGACAGACACTGATGTGGCAGAGCTATAGGATTGACACATGATAGGACATGATGCCTGGGACACTGGGGAATATAAGGAACGAGGGCTCTGTGGACTATTATTGTTAACTGAGATGCTGGTCTAATAGATGAAGAGATGTGGGGTCTTACGAATTAGGGGATGTAGAAGTTCACCACATAATGGGATATGATGGGACACTGGGGCCCAGACACATATCAAATGCATGACAGTTCATGGGCATTAGGGGACAATATGTTAGGTGCTGATATAGTGCTTGCTGGGACATAGAAAGCCAGTACATTAGGGGACACACAGTGGGACAGACACAGGGTTAGCACACAATGGGAATTTGGAAAGCCAGCACATTGTGGGATGCTGGGGTCAGTCTCAGGCCCCGAAGTATGATGGGATGCCCTGGGGGAGGAACGTGGGCCCCACGGGCCCCATGCCCCTTGCCCTCCGCGATCCAGTTCCCCCTCCACCCCCAGCCCAGTCCGGCAAGCCCAGCCGCGCCTACACTCCTCTCCCCAGGAGCTGGAGCGCCAGGCCTTGGCCAAACACGTCAGGGCAGAGGCCCTGAGCTCCACCCTTCGGCTGGCCCAAGACGAAGCCTTGCGGGCCAAGAACCTGCTGCTGACGGACAAGATGAAGCCGGAGTGAGGAAGGAGGCTGAGGGCATGGGAGGAGGGTGAGGTCTTGGGGAAAGGGCCTGAGTCACCCTCTTCACTCCAGCCCCATGGCATCTGGCCTCATCAGTCCCAGCTCCCCACTCTCGGTCATTACAGGGAGAAGGTGGCCACTCTGGACTATCTACACTTGAAGATGTGCTCCCTCCACGATCAACTCAGCAACCTGCCACTTGAGGGGTCCACGGGGACAATGGGGGGAGGAAGTAGTGGGGGGATTCCCCCAAAATGTGGGGGCCCAACCCCTGAACAATAAATGGCCTCTCATGCTGGCATGAATTCTGTCCCGTTTTTGGCACCAAAGGGGGGCTGATAAAGTGCACACACACCACGCACCAGCCTCTGCTCGCTATGACTCAATCCTCGGCCAACGGGGTGTCCTGGTTTCTAGAGAGGTGCTGATAATGGTACAGTTCTTTGAAAAGTCAAGAGGGGGGAGAAATAAGGTTCTGTGGTACAGTTTGAGTCTGTCAATCCAGATGTTTTTATTTATTTATTTATTTTAAGATTTTATTTATTTGACAGACACAGCGAGAGAGGGAACACAAGTGGGGGGGGGAGAAGCAGGCTTTCCGCGGAGCAGGGAGCCCGATGCGGGGCTCGATCCCAGGACCCTGGGATCATGACCTGAGCTGAAGGCAGGCGCTTAACGACTGAGCCACCCAGGCGCCCCAATTCAAATGTTTTTAGAGTGATTTATATATTATATAATATTCATATATATTATGTATTAAATTATATATTATAAATTATTAAATTTATATATGACATTATATATTAAATTTATTTAATATTTAAGTAATATATTCAAGTAATCTCTATACCCAAGGTGGGGCTTAAACTCATAACCCCGAGATCAAGAGGCACATGCTCTTGGGGCACCTGGGTGGTGCACTCGGTTAAGCATCCAACTCTTGGTTTTGGTTCAGGTTATGATCTCAGGGTCATGGGATTGAGCCCTGTGCCAGGCTTCACGCTCAGCGCAGTCTGCTTGAGATTCTCTCTCCCTCTCCCTCTGCCCCTCCCACTCGTGCTCTCTCCCTCTCTCAAATAATCTTTAAAAAAAAGTCACATGCTGTCAGATGCCCCCAGAGTGATTTTTTTTTTACCAGATAATTATATTGTCTACTGCTGTGTAAAAAATTATCCCTCCCTAAACTTAGCTGCTAAAACAATAAACATATATTATCGCACACAATTTCTGAGGGTTGGGAATCTGGGAGTGGCTTAGCTAGATGGTTTGGGTTCAGGGTCCTCATGAGGTTGCAATCAGTATATCAGCTGGGGTGCAGTCATTTGAAGACTTGGCTATGGCTGGAAGTTGTACTTTCAAGATGGCACACTCACATGGCTCTTGTTTGGAGGCCTTAGCTCCTTGCTGTCTGTTGGCTGGAGGCCTCAGTTTCTCATGGCAGCTAACTGCCCCAAGAGCAAGCAGTCTAAGAGAGAACAAGCAGGAAGCTACAGTGCCTTTGATGACCTAGTTTCTGTAGTTGCATACTATCATTTCCCCTTTTTATATTCATTAGAATTGAGTCACTAAGCCCTAATCATACTCAAGGGGCATGTCAAAGAATTTGCAGACACTTAAAAAAAAAGATTTTATTTTATGGGGCGCCTGGGTGGCTCAGTTGGTTAAGCATCTGCCTTTGGCTCAGGTCGATCTCGGGGTCTGGGGTGCATTGGGCTCCCTGCTCAGTGGAGAGTCTGCTTCTCCCTCTGCCCCTCCCCCACTTGTGCTCTCTCCCAAGCACGCTCTCTCTCAAATAAATAAAATCTTAAAAAAAAAAAAAGAGAGATTTTATTTTATTCTTTAAAGTAATCTCTATACCCAGTGTGGGGCTCAAACTTACAACCCCAAGATCAAGAATCCCACACTCCACTGACTGAGCCAGCCAGGTGCCCCTGCAGATATATTTTGGAGAGCATGTCAATTTGTTGACATATTTTAAACCACCACAGTAATATTATTTTTAAACTTTTAATTGAAGTATAATATAAACAGAAAAGTTCACAAATTAAAAGTGTATAATGAATTATCATGAAATAGGGCGCCTGGGTGGCTCAGTCGGTTGAGCGTCTGCCTTCAGCTCAGGTTATGATCTCAAGGTCATGGGATTGAGCCCTGTGTCTGGCTCCTCACTCAGTGGGGAGTCTGCTTGAGATTCTCTCTCATTACCTCTACCTCTCTCCCACTCTCTAAAATAAATAAATCTTTTTTTAAAAGGCGAACCTAAAAAAAAATCAATTTATTTCTGTATGCCAGTGATAAAAAGTTAGAAAATGAAAAAAAAAATTTAAGGTACTCTTTCTAGGTAACATAAAGCTAAAAAAATTATAGGAATCTGGGGTGCCTGGGTGGCTCAGTCAGTTAATTGTCTGATTCTTGGTTTCAGCTCAGGTCATGATCTCAGGGTCATGAGATCAAGCCCCGCATCTGGCTCCACACTCAGTGTGGGGTCTGCTTGAGATTCTTTCCCCCTTCTTCTCCCTCCCCCACTGCTCTTCCCCCTGACTCGTACTCTCTCTCTCTAAAATAAATGAATAAAATCTTTTAATTTAACAAAAGGTATGTCATGATCTCTACAGAAAACTAACACGTAACTGAGAAAAGTTAAGGACCTCAATAAATGGGGAGTTATATTCATGGCTTATAAGATATTACTATAAAGATGTTACTTCTCCCCAGTTGATTTACAGATTCAGTGCTCGCAGATTTGAGATTTATTAATGTGGCTTCATTTGTACCCACAATATGATGGGAACTAGGGGGTCTAAAAACTTTCAGAGAATGAATAATTATTCTTATTTTAAAGAGTGCTACAAACTACATGCTTGTATCTACCAAAATTCATATGTTAAAGCCCTAATCCCCAGTGTGATGGCATTTGGAGACGGGGCCACTGGAGGTTTAGATGAGGCCATAAGGGTGAAACCCCATGATGGGATTGGTACCTTTACTTATTTATGTATTTTTAAATTTATTATTTTTTTATTTGTTAAAGATCCTAATTTTAAGCAATCTCTATACCCAACTTGGGGCTCAAACCCACAACCCTGAGATCAAGAGTCGCACGTTCCTCTGACAGAGCCAGCCAGGTGCCCAGGGATCACTGCCCTTTTAAGAAGAGACACAATCTCTCCTCTCTCCCTCTCTCTCCCTCCCTCTCTCCCTCTCTCTCCCCCCCTCACCCCGCCCGTACCATGTGAGGATACAGCAAGAAGGCAACCATCTGCAAACCAGAAAGCAGACACCAAATCTGCCCGTAGTTTGATCTTGGACTTCCCAGCCTCCAAACTGTGAGAAATAAATGTCTGTTATTTAAGCCACCAGGCCCATTGTATTTTGTTATCTCAACCAGAACTGACTAAGATACAGAGGAAGAAGTAAGGCCAAAGGGGCACCTGGCTGGCTCAGTCAGTAAGGCATGTGACTCTTGATCTCATGGCTGTAAGTTTGAGCCCTATGTTGTGTGTGTAGAGATTACTTAAAAATAAAATCTTTAGGGGCGCCTGGGTGGCTCAGTCGGTTAAGCGACTGCCTTCGGCTCAGGTCATGATCCTGGAGTCCCGGGATTGAGTCCCGCATCGGGCTCCCTGCTCGGCAGGGAGTCTGCTTCTCCCTCTGACCCTCCTCCCTCTCATGCTCTCTGTCTCTCATTCTCTCTGTCTCAAATAAATAAATAAAAATCTTAAAAAATAATAATAAAATTAAAAAAATAAAATCTTTTTAAAAAAATTAAAAAAAAAAAGAAAGTCCAGAAAGGATGTTATTTACATAAGGATACATGGTTAATGAGTGAAAGAACTGTTTGCATTGCAACACATTCGTCTACCCCCAAGCCTCTTCTACATTCTTCCTAGAGACGATGTATTCTAGAGGTAACTGTACTCCCCTTTTCCACCTGCAAAGGTATCATCTCATTAAAGCTCACATGGGTGAACAACCTAATCCCAGAATCCCAGTTGGGGGATCTGTTTCCGAAGCCACTCTGGATGCCAAGAACAACTACAGCAATCGAGAACGAACCAGTAAACAGCAAGTACTTTGAACATTTGATGTAGGGGTTGGATGCATGGGTGATGGAAGACCTGAGGGGCCAAAAGGGGATGGTGAGGGAAGCCAGAGGTCAGCATCAGGAGGAAGCCACGACCACTCCTAGGCTGGAAGGGCAGATGGAGGAAGTGGTGATGTCCAGGGACCGAGGTCACCTGATGGAACAGGAACCACAGCAGGTCTGTCAAGTAAGAGCTGCGGCCACTTCAAGAGAAGCAACCCTGACGCAGAGAGAGAATAGAAGAAAAGTCCTGTCATCTCTCCATCACATCAGTCTCTCTCCTGCCAGGGCCTCTCATTGTTTGAAGCCAGTGGAAGCTGGCTGGTGTGGGGGGCTGGGGAACAGAGCCTCTAGGGTCACCCTCTGAGGTCCAGGGCAGATAATGAAAAAGGTAAAGAAATAGATGAGATGTCAAACAAGAACTGGTGTGTGAATGTTTTTTGAGATGCTTACTAGACATCCAAAAGGAGACACTGAGTAGCCTATTGAGTCTTTTTTTAGAAGATTTTATTTACTTGAGAGGGAGAGCATGAGCGGGGAGAAGGGGCAGAGACAGAGGAAGAGAGAGAAGCAGGCTACCCCGCTGAATGGGGAGCTGGACATGGGCTCGATCCCAGGACCCGGGGATCATGACCCGAGCTGAAGGCAGATGCTTAACCAACTGAGCCACCCAGGCACCCTGGCTGCTGGATCTTGGGTTAAGCAGAGAGGTTGGGATATATAAATCTGGAAACTATTGATATAGAGGTAGTAGTTAAGTAAAACTATTAGGAAAAAAGCAATCTACATTTTTTTTTTTTAATAAGAAAGACAACAAAAACCTCAGCCCTGAAGCACTCCAAAATTCAGAAGCCTGGGATAAGTGGAAGAACTCTCAGTGAAGACTGAAAAGGAGTAACCAGTAAAGCAGGAAGATAACCCAAAGGTAACATCCTGGCAGCCAGTGAAGAAAGTTATCAGGGGCACCTGGGTGGCTCAGTTGGTTAAGTGCCCAACTCTTGATTTTGGCTCAGGTCATGGTCTCATGGGTCATGAGTTCAAGCCCCGGGTCTGGCTCCTTGCTCAGTGGGGAGTCTGCCTGAGATCCTCACTCTCCCTCTGCCCCTCCCCCACCCCTTGCTCACTCTCTCTCTCTCAAATAAATAAATAAAAATCTTTTCAATTTTTAAAAAAGAAAGTTACCATTAAGGAAAGAGTAATCAACTACT